GGCCCGGGCACCGTAGCTCAAGCCTGTAATCCCAGGCCACTTTGGGAGGCGAGACGGGCGGATCACAAGGTCAGGAGATCGAGACCATCCTGGGCTAACACAGTGAAACCCCCGTCTTCCTACAAAAAATACAAAAGAACGTGATCAGTGGGTGGTGGCGGGCGCCTGTAGTCCCAGCTACTCCGGAGGCTTGCAAGGCAGGGTAAATGGCGTGACACCCGGGAGGCGGAGCTTGCAGTGAGCTGAGATCCGGCCACTGCACTCCAAGCCTGGGCGACAGAGCGAGACTCCGTCTCAAAAAAAAAAAAAAAGAAAAGAAAAGAAAAGAAAACAAGAAAAAGGGTTTAGGTCTAAAGGTACCTTTAGTGGAATATTTTTCTTGTGGGACAAAGTGTTTTATTTGAGCAGTTCCTGGTTGGAGCCCCATAAAGGTCTCCATGTCGCTTGATGTTCTAGAACAGGGGTCCAGAACTGGCAACCTGCAGGCCAATTGGGCCTACAGCCTGCTTTTGTAAATAAGTTTTATTGCAACACAGCCACCTCATTTGTTTTAGTTATATCTTTGGCTGGTTTTGCGCTACAATGGCAGGATTGAGCAATTATTAAGAAAACCATCTAGACTGCCAAGGCTAAAGTAGTTATTATTTGGTTCTTTACAGAAAAACTTTGCCTTTTCCTTGCGGTACACAACATTCACCTTTATTTTTTTTTGTCGAGGGGAAGGGGTCTGTATTAGGCATACCAAGAATTATTATAAAGCTGTAAGTAAACTAGGCACATTGTGAGTATTGATGCCAAGAAAGACCAGTCTCTGTGAATTAAGAGTGCAGAACATAAGGATGCCATGGCATAGAAGGAAATATCATCGTTCATCGAGCCAGCATCTTTCTCGAATACGTCGGATAAATGAATTGTTCAATACTGAAGTCTGATCCCTACCTTAACACTCCCACCACGAATCCCCGTTCAGCCTATGAATTCAGAAATTAATCGTGAGGCTAACCTGTTTTTTAACTTTTTACAAACAATGAAAAATTTTATGAGACTATCTTTTATGCTTTAGGGGTTGTAAATGAGTCTCCTTTAAATTAGACACAAAAAGTACAAACCACAAAAAAAAATTATTTACAAATTTTACCTTTATTAAAATTAAAATCTCCTCTAATCAAATACATGGAAAAGAGAGTGGAAAGACAAGCCACAAACTGATATAAGATGAATTTTAAAACACACTGGTAAAGGATTACCATCCAGATATTACAGATGGCACTCCTGAAAAATAAATGGACCAAAGATTTGAAGGGGCCCCGAAAATATATACATCTAACTAATGTATCAATAAAAGTAATTTTTCTACTTGAATGAGAATTTATCACAGAAGAACCAAGGTGGACCAATAAACATATGAAAGTATACGTCATATTCCACACTTAAGAAATTGGCAAAAATTTAGTTTGGATCATTACCAAAATGCCCAGCCAAGGGATGTGGAGAAATGGGAGTTCTAATTTATCTGTTAGCAATTATGTAAATTGATAAAATAATTTTAGAAAATAATTTGGCGGCCAGGCATGGTGGGTCATGTCTGTAATCCCAAGCACTTTGGGAGGCCAAGGCGCAGATCACAAGGTCAGGAGATCGAGACCATCCTGGCCAACATGGTGAGTACCAGCAAAATAAGTAAATGTTGATATATTCATTCTAGAATACTATGCAGCAGTACATTGAATAAACTGCAACCATATGTAGTAACATGAATGAATTTTAAAATACTGGATGAAAAAGTCATAGAACATTATATTTAATATCATTTGATAAATATGAAGGTTAAAACTAGGTACTATTAAATCAATATATTATTTAGAGATACATTCATCTCTGTGTGTGTGTGTAATAAAGGTATAATGTAAAGAAAAGCAAAACACTATTCAGGCAAGAGGTTATATCTTGGGGAGAAAAAAGAAGATACAATTAGGAAAGGGCACAAAAAGAGAGCCTACATGGTGAATACAAATATATTCTTTTTAAGCGTTAGTCTAAATGGGTCCCAAAGGCCTGTAATTTCTGGGGCCTTTGCCGCTTCCTTAAAGGCACCTACAGTCCTTGGCTTGTAGCTCCTTCTCTTATCATTAAAGCAGTGCATGGCATCCTTCTCTCCTCTCGGCCCTCTGCACTGTCCTTAAATTCCTTCTCTCTCTGAACAGCTGGATTTCCTCTTTCTAAGGACCCCACCTGGATACTGGCGAATAATCTCTTTTCTCAAGATCCTTAACTTAGTTCATCTACAGTTATTTTGCTATTGCAAGCTAACAGTCCACAGAGTTCCTTTCTGGATTAGGCTCATCGCGCCTTTTTAGGAAAGTGCTGTTACTCAGCTACCCACACCTGGGACAAACAAACGTTCAATACCAAGCAAATACGTAAATGTCGATATATTCCATTCTACGAATACTATCGCGCAGCAGTACATTGAATAAACTGCAACCATATGTATCAACAGTGAATGAATTGTTAAATACTGGATGAAAAAGTCCTAGAACATTATATTTAATATCTTTTGAAGATAAATAATGAAGGTTTAAAACTAGGTACTCCATTAAATCAATATACCCCCTTATTCCTCAGCAGGACTACCACACTTCTACCCTCTGTCGCTCGCTCTGTGTAACTAAAGCGCTATACCATCCGTACACACGAAAAGCCCAAAACTCACTTCCGCCCCCGCAACCGCCCCCCGGTTCATCTCCTCTCGGGCGCCCGAAAAAACGCGCATACAACTTCACGCCCGCCCAAAGGCGCCACAACAACGAGAGCCTACATCGGCTGACTACACTATACCCCTCTCTTTTTCACTCTCTTTCTTTTCTTTTTCTCTTTGCTACCATCCCTCTGGCTCTGTCGCCCAGCCGTCTCGCGAGTGCCACGCTGCGTCCAACCTCTTGCGCCCCACTGCAACTCCACCTCCCAACTCTCAGGTGACTCCTCCTGTCTGAGCCTTCTTGCCATAGTTGGGACCCATTACCAGGCACACCCACGACCACACCCCCTGGCTAATTTTTCGTATTCTTTAGTAGGAAGTTGTGTTTCACGGCCCGGCGCCGCCGCCCCGGTGGCTCAAGCTGTAATCCCAGCACTTTGGGAGGTCCCGAGACGGGCGGGATCACGAGGCCGTCAGGAGACTCGAGACCCCATCTGCGCCTACACCCCGGTCGACACGACCCCCCGTCTCGGTACTCAAAAATACAAAAATACCGCCCAGCCAGGCGAGGTGGCGGGCGTGCTGTAGTCCCCAGCCTACTCGGGAGGCTGAGCAGGAGAATGGCGGGAACCCCCCGCCGAGGCGAGCCTTGCAGTGAGGCCTGAGATCCGGCCACGCCTCCCACGCTCCGCGGCGACAGAGCGACGCACTCGCTCTCAACAAAAAAAAACAAAAAAAAAGAAGTGTGTTTCCCCATGTTGGTCAGCGGCTGGTCTCAGAACTCCCCTCGACTCAAGTGATCCGCCCACCTCAAGCCTCATAAAGTGTTGGCGATTTACA